TTATAGGAAGCAGTGAGTTTCGAAGTCTGAAGAAAATGTTGAATGGTCTCTGCAGCAATGATAGCACAGCAAAGCTCAGTGATCGGAGCATTGCTGGCCTCAAGCAGAGGTTCCTACCGTCTATTACGGAGTATATGCCACACCTAGATTTTTTTACAAAATACAGACCGCATGATCTAACCTATTCATCACCGTGAATTTAATCTCCGAAAATATGGTAGTTTGAATTCTGGTGACAGTTCACACTTTCACCTTTTCAACACCTGAAATTACTTCAAATTAGTAAACAAATGATGAGTAATGGTGAGTTTGGTGAGTTATGATGGGTGATGATGGGTGATGATGGGTGATGATGGTTGATGGTGAGGAATGGTCAGCAATGGTGATTGATGATGAGTAATGGTGAGTAATGATGATCAAATGGTGAGTAGTGATGACTGATAATGAGTGATGGTGAATAATGGTGAGTAATAGTGAGTGATGGTGAGTAATGATGAGTAATGTGACCAGTGTCCAGTGTTTAGTGATGATGCCCACTTTGTTGTTCCTGTTGTATCCTTATAGCTGTGAGCTCGGAGATCGGCGGCCAGGACCCCGATATGGAGGAGGACTGCACAAAGATGGACTCGCACATGCGCAGTATCCAGCGCTACCATCGCAAGGAGCTCCTGACCAGAGCCGTGAGCATGGCCATGAGCGGGCGCGCCAACCCTGAGCGGACAGCCACAGCGGTGCGAGCCACGTTGAAACGAGGGGCTTCACAGCCAACGCCTCTACCGAAGCCCCGCAGGCAGGAAGTGATCAACACCATGTCCAAGATCCCACAAGGTAGACCTGTTCTCCAGTAGGGCTGTGTTAAGGCCATCATTTTTTATATCTATGTTTCGCGTCAGTTCAACTTCCAGAATCATATACGAGAGGTGGAAAAAATAAAAAAGTTGCAAAATAAGCAAAGAGCTCCGGAACGACGCATCCTTTCAGCTTGAGGCGATCGATGCGGTCTCTGGTGTAAGCTCATAGAATACTGCTCACAGATGCCGCACAAACGATTTACCAACGCTGGTCTCGAGGCCATTTCTGAATCCCAGCTTCGCCATGTGCAACCAGTCCACACTGATGACTCGCACGATCGTACACTCACTTTGCATGCTCGATTTTTTTTCTATTTTTTCCCCAAAAAATCAAAACGTATGCGTGCGGACGACGCGAAACATGGATATAAAAAATGATGGCCTGATAGTAGAAAGAAAATAAAAAGTCATATTTATATCTAGAGGCAGTATTCCCCCTGAGCATGGGTGCGAGCGACCCTGTCTTCTAGCATGGGTGCGACCCTGTCTTCTCTTCTGGCGATTATGTATTAGACTCGTGTGCAATACTCGCATGGTTATTCTCAATGTAGTCTGAGGTTATTCTCAATGTAGTCTGAGGTTATTCTCAATGTAGTCTGAGGTTATTCTCAATGTAGTCTGAGGTTATTCTCAATGTAGTCTGAGGTTATTCTCAATGTAGTCTGAGGTTATTCTCAATGTAGTCTGAGGTTATTCTCAATGTAGTCTGAGGTTATTCTCAATGTAGTCTGAGGTTATTCTCAATGTAGTCTGAGGTTATTCTCAATGTAGTTTGAGGTTATTCTCAATGTAGTCTGAGGTTATTCTCAATGTAGTCTGAGGTTATTCTCAATGTAGTCTGAGGTTATTCTCAATGTAGTCTGAGGTTATTCTCAATGTAGTCTGAGGTTATTCTCAATGTAGTCTGAGGTTATTCTCAATGTAGTCTGAGGTTATTCTCAATGTAGTCTGAGGTTATTCTCAATGTAGTCTGAGGTTATTCTCAATGTAGTCTGAGGTTATTCTCAATGTAGTCTGAGGTTATTCTCAATGTAGTCTGAGGTTATTCTCAATGTAGTCTGAGGTTATTCTCAATGTAGTCTGAGGTTATTCTCAATGTAGTCTGAGGTTATTCTCAATGTAGTCTGAGGTTATTCTCAATGTAGTTTGAGGTTATTCTCAATGTAGTCTGAGGTTATTCTCAATGTAGTCTGAGGTTATTCTCAATGTAGTCTGAGGTTATTCTCAATGTAGTCTGAGGTTATTCTCAATGTAGTCTGAGGTTATTCTCAATGTAGTCTGAGGTTATTCTCAATGTAGTCTGAGGTTATTCTCAATGTAGTCTGAGGTTATTCTCAATGTAGTCTGAAGTTATTCTCAATGTAGTCTGAGGTTATTCTCAATGTAGTCTGAGGTTATTCTCAATGTAGTCTGAGGTTATTCTCAATGTAGTCTGAGGTTATTCTCAATGTAGTCTGAGGTTATTCTCAATGTAGTCTGAGGTTATTCTCAATGTAGTCTGAGGTTATTCTCAATGTAGTCTGAGGTTATTCTCAATGTAGTCTGAGGTTATTCTCAATGTAGTCTGAGGTTATTCTCAATGTAGTCTGAGGTTATTCTCAATGTAGTCTGAGGTTATTCTCAATGTAGTCTGAGGTTATTCTCAATGTAGTCTGAGGTTATTCTCAATGTAGTCTGAGGTTATTCTCAATGTAGTCTGAGGTTATTCGATTATGTCTTAGACCACTCTGATATGGCGACGACCTGTCCCATCTGGCCGCTACAATTTGAAAGTTCTGACTTCTGAGCATTGCAACCCACCAGCCTGTTTGCATACCTGCCCACCGTCCCGATATCACAGGGCGGTACTAGGCACCCAAAAGTGCATTCGTGGCATGCCTCAGCTAGCCGGATTTGTAGACAGTTTCACACATACATCATGTAAGTATGTCATTGTCGCGATCTCAGGTCTGCAAAGGGTGGCAGGTATGTATTATTATTGTATTTGTCCCCATTTTGCCTGCACTGTCTGGCGCTGCTTGTCCAATTTGTGTTCCGCCAGACAAGCTGAAGACTCTGCAGAAGGTGATCGATTCCGTGGGATGCCTGGCCGACCTGGCCAGAAACGGAATGGCGAACGGCGCGGACGAGATCATGTCGCATGAAAACGACGGCGATGACGACTATGTGGCTACCGATGATGAGAATGATGACGATGAAGGCGATAGGACCCAGGGTAAGAAGTCACTACGAACATTAATTTTTCGAAGTGGCGACTTTTGGTCTTTTGAGCTCAGCCGAACCCGGCTTCATACAGAGCACAACACATATGCCTTTCCAGTTGTTCTGGGTTATCCTTCAGATCAGTTGGAAGTGTTTTTCCCCCTCTCAAACACTGTGTTGGATTCTGAACGCCAGGCATATACTGAGCCCCGCACAACACCCTAAAGACTAGGTAGTCAGCACACACTATTTGACTAGGACATGCCAGGCAGGTGTACTCCTGAGAAATATGATAACACGGGCTAAGTCCAACACTCAATGCAAGGCGTAGGTTGTGATCTCGTGTGACGGGCGGATTCGCAAGAGTTGAAATATCCTTAGCGTAACATACTCTGTATGACCTTTTACAGTCATTCAACTTCAGAGATCGAGTGGCTTGGATAAAATAAAATAAAATTATTATGTCCTGTGGAGGTGTATGTTTTGCTGTAGTTTTCACTGTAGTTTCGTAAACATCAGGGTTGTCTTGCTCCTGCTCCTTCTGCTGCTGCTGCTGCTGCTGCTGCTACTGGTGTACAAGACACTGATTATGACATGTTGTCTACAGCGAAACCTGTCAAAGCTGACCACTCAAGGGACCTTACAAAAATTAGTGTGATCCCAATGTACATCTGGCATCCTTATTTTAAAAGGGTCAATTGACTGGAGATAACACCCTTAGTTGTCAGTGGTAGTGGTCCTTTGGGACACGTGGTCGCCTTATCAGAGTGGTCGTCTTGACATGCTGTGCATGTTGTAGATAACCGGCGTGACTCCAGAGGGTCACCACTACCGTCCAGCCAGACACCACTACCCACTGGACAGGCACCACTACCCACTGGACAGACACTGCCTTGCCTAGTGAACATGTCCTGTGCGAGTCTGCAGGACGATGTCGGACAGTCGGCCGAGGAAGTCCTGACCTACCTGAAGTGGGCCGGTGCCGTCAGTGACAATGCCCGAGTGCGCAAGTACCGCTGCTGGATGCCTATGACAGTTGTTGCTTTGGAGGATGATAGCAAACTGAAGACATACGATGGTTAGTGACTTTAAGGATAATGTCGTGAGCAGCTTAGCTAAACTGGATTGATTCTCACACTTCTAGAGTCAGCTGCTTTGTTGGTGTTGTTGTCCTTGTCACCGTCGCAGTCGTGTGTGTGTGTGCGTGTGTGTGTGTGTGTGTGTGTGTGTGTGTGTGTGCGTGTGTGCGTGTGTCTGTCTGTGTGTCCATATGTTGCGTGTGCATTTGTGTATGCACATGTACATATTATTATCTGTACACACACATGCATGAGTGTGTGCATGCATGCACAATATTGTGTGCTTCTGTGTAATAGGGCTTCGAAGTGTGACGTCAGGTCCTTGACAACTTCGTAGCAACTGGGTACAAACAACCATTGCGTCTCCAGCACGTGGTGTTTTGCACTGAAAATTTCAAATATTTTAAAATTTCAAATTTTCAGTGCAAAACACCAGGTTTTTAAAAATCATGGCTTTTGCAGATTAGAATAGTAGTAGGTTTTTCATTTTGACCCGACGAGACCATACGACGCTTGCAGATCACAGCACGAACAGTTCACCAGCCACACTCCACGAAAGCAAGTAGCCTAGTAGTACTCCTGACAAGTCTTGTTTCGTTCCATAGAGATAATAACGGGGAACTCATCAGAGGAGAAGCAGTTATTGAATGAGAGTAGATATCTCATACGAAGTACCCGGATATCCTTTTATTGTCCTTTAGGGACACGAGTCTGTTAGCTTTGTCCTCCTTTCTGCAGGGCAGAGTAGAGCAGTGACTTGCATGAAATTAAAATAACAAATCGGGGTGCGACACCTGCACCTTTTATTGCCTTTCCTGAGCTGAGGTGCATGGAGATCGATCCGTATATGACGTACATTCAGGTGAAGTTTTCTTTCGCTGCCTGTGAGAGGTGATTCGGTGCGCTGTATCCTTTCTCGTGACTTCGGACGTCTGAATTTGTTCTCTTTACGAGGTGGAAAGATGCTGAAGCAAGCGAGAATTGAACTCTGATCAGAACTGTGAAATATTTTCGCCAGCTCATCGCAGACCCCCTTTGTTTCACCTTCGAGATACATGGGAAGACCAGTCATTGCTCCGTCGGCCTAGCCAATCTCTATCAGCATGGGGCACTTAGAAAATGTGTTTTTTCAAGTAAACTGTTGATTCCCACTATCAGAAACCTGCGTATTACTGCGAAGAGCAAGGAAACGCTTTTACAGTTTGTTTGTATTCAGAAATTTCGTTGGCATGCGTTGTCAAGTATGCGTGACTTCATCACTTCAAAGCCCTAAAGCAATAGAAAGTAAAAAATAAAGTCTAGCTACCACAGATGTCCGCTTTATCTGATCACGGCTCTCCGCTCTCACTCTCCTCTCTGCTTAGGGCAAGGCTCCGTGCTCGTCAAGTTGCTGGCTGATATTCCCGAGCAGCGCTCCAGCAGTGTTCGCAGGCTGGCCGGCGATTACGTGACGCAGCTTCAGGAGTTGCTCGGCGGCTCACCGGTGTACCTGCAGGGCTTTCACCCGCAGGACGGTCGCACAGTTCTGCTCGTGCAGATGACGGCCGATTCTCTGCAGCAGCTCTACGAGCTGCTCCTGCACAACCCAGGCCGCCTGGCCAGCAAGGGAATTCTGCACGTGTCCACATTCGACGGCTCAACAGTCTTGAGCATGGAGCAATCAACTGCCAAGACTGCACCGCGTAAGATTCTTGTTTGAGTCTAAAACATGCAGGCTTAACAACGTGGCTACATTCCCAATGCAGCTGTTCCAGATAGTGTACTGTTTCGGACAGGAAATGGGGTTGAACGACATGAACCGCTCACACTGCAAAATTCCGGCGGATTAATTTTTCAGAATGTACCAGGCCATACTGCCACACATGTCCAATGCCACGGCTCAAGTTGCTTAGCTATGGTGAAGTTGGCCCTCCGCATTACATTTTGAAGCAGGAATCACAGATGGCAAAGCCTGTAGCCTTTCATCGCTTGCACTAACATCAGGTGTCGATGGTAGGGGGAGGGGGGGGGGGGGTGGGGGGGGGGGAGGGGTACATTCGCTTCAGACTAGTAAGGGTCTTATGTTTGAAATTTCAGTGTTTTCTTCTTGTTCTGTGCTCATACATTCACATAGTATTTCATTTCATCACTTGATTGATTTTACAAAGGCAAGTAGATGGGAATGGGAATTTCTGAAAAACATGTGAAAATGGTCAATTTGTGGAGAGATCTAAAGGAGGGAAAGATGTATTAGTGCTCTGTGCATGCATTATTAAAAAGTTGAAAGTAACAGAAAAAAACACAGACCCTGGTATTCCTACACCTTAGTTCTCGGCCTGGCATCTTCATACATTTTACTGACCTTCTGGCCTTCTGGGCTGGATGTTCTTCGCCCGCCCATTGTTCTTGTATGTGTGCGCGCGTGCGTGCATGTGTGTGTGTGTGTGTGTGTGTGTGTGTGTGTGTGTGTGTGTGTGTGTGTATGTGTGTGGCCAACCTGTTGGAAAGCTACCTTCTTGCCAGAGCATTTGGAAGTTGGACTAGTTTCGGCTCCACAATCCAGTGTATCGTTACTATAATATCTTTCATGGCTGAGGTTGTTGGTATGTCTGTTGGCTCTGGGTTCCCAGTACTCAGTAGCCGAGGCTGGGTGGTAAAGTAACTCCAATTTCACTTCAAGGTACCAGTGCATCTAGTGTCTGCTTCTATCAAAGCAGCGTGCTGTCTATACTGGTTACCCCAGCAAGTGTAGGGTGTGCATAGGTAACTGTCTTGGCAGTCCTATTCCGATGTACTCCGTGTGGTGTAGACCAGGTGTGCATTGGTGGTCGATTCACTTAGCTTCGCCAGTTGTGTGGATTAGACAGTTATCTGGCGCAAGTCTTGATCTGTCTCATTCAGATCTTGGTCACTATCGTTGCTATAAGAGAACATCTGTGGGTGCACATCCAGTGCATTTGCAGTTTTGCGTGCTTCTCTTGCGACGGGCGTATACATGGTACATGCTATGTGTGCGTACGTGCATGCGTGCGCGTGTCTGTGGACTTTAAATGATGCTGTACCATGTACAGAGATGTCTGTGGAGGATGAGGGACTAATGGACAATTTGTTGGAAGAGGTCAAGCAATATGAAAATTGTTCTGTGGACATTAGCAAGATACGAGAGAAGGCATCGTTGCATGAGGTCGTTCAGGAGCTGTATGAGATTTGTGATGAGCCTGGGGCTAGCCCAGTCGTCAGCACCATCCTCAGGGCCACTGAGAGTAAGGAGAGTGTACGCGTGTGAATTATATTTGTATGCATGCGTACGTGTGCGTATGTATGTGTTTGTTATTATGTGTATGAATATGTGTGTGTGTGGGGGGGGGGGGGGTGTTCAATGGTGCATGTAAATTTGTGTGCTGGCTCAATTTGTGCTGTCTCAAGAGAATTCTGTTGATGTGTGTTTTTTCTAGTTTATGATTTGCAAACGAGCACCGAATATCACCGCATGATCAAATCACAACTCACCTGTGTTTCTCATGGGGATGAACTTATCCAGCACACCATGATGATAGACAGTTGCCACTTTGCACGCAAATTTTTACTCGTGGCATGCCAACGATCTGTAAATGAATAATATTTTCCACCATCGCAGGAGAAGCCTACTAGTATTTTGGTTTTACACGTCTGCACGCCAGGCTGTGTCCAAATCTCTGCTACGGATGTCGACTAGTTCGAGGTGCTTCTGAATGCACTCCGAGTTTCTGGCTGTGGTGCTTTGTCGTGCAGATACAATCAAGCGAGAGCCGAGCTACAAGCGTCGCAAGAACCTGTTCACAAAGAGCGGGACATGGACAAGCTACTCCTCTAAGGACAAGCCCGGCAAGGTATATACGCGAGCTTCACACAGACCAAACATATGCCGTGTATAGATTTTCTCTGGATATCCACGGTGAGGAGTACAACGAAGAGGAGGAATGATGGAATGGGACAATATATCCTGACTGAGACTCAGAGATAGATACCTAGTGAGAGAGAGAGAGAGAGAGAGAGAGAGAGAGAGAGAGAGAGAGAGAGAGAGAGAGAGAGAGAGAGAGAGAGAGAGAGAGAGAGAGAGAGAGAGAGAGAGAAGAGAGAGAGAGAGAGAGAGAGAGAGAGAGAGAGAGAGAGAGAGAGAGAGAGAGAGAGAGAGAGAGAGAGAGAGAGAGAGCAGATGGACATACAGGCATATAACTGAGCACTTGGGCAGAGCATCATTGTCTACCTTGTGGGCATACCGGCGAATGTCCGGCTGGGAGGTTAATTTAAAATTGAATGAACCCTGTAACGACAGCAAGACTTGATAGTGACCAATAGTCTCCCCCCCCCCCCCCTCCCTCTGGACACAGCATTGCCACATACAAAATTTCTCCGGTAGGGAGATCTCCGCCCAAGTTAGATACTAGCAGTCGGCGGGGAGGTCGCAAAACTTCAAATTGTGCGCACTACCGTGTACATAGATAAAAGTGCAATCACACGTGTAAGAATATCAGTGCAAAGGAGGGGAGTTTTGAGTAATGCTCAATCACGATCAACTACAAAGCCCGATTGAATGATGATCTAAATTATCTAGACGAATGACTGGGAGTATGAACATTGGCGGCGTGCAGGCGCGTGCGCCGGTGCCCTTCAAGGGGGGTTTCCGGGGGACCTCCCGCGGGAAAAATTTTCAAAAAATGAAGCAAAATCCTGCATTTTGAGCGGAAAAAAGGGGGGTTCCGGGTACCCAGGAACCCATACGGGGCACGCGCCTGGCGGTGTGAGTGTAAGATGGTGTGGGCGGAAATATGTGTGTGTGTGTGTATGAGGGTGTATGCTGTGTGAGCATGACAGTGAGTGGTAATGGCAGTGTAACAGGGGGAAGCGGAGATGCATATGTAATGGGAATATTAAATTTTGCTGCCGTGGTAATATAATATTGCCGCCGTTGACCGTCTGCATCTGTACAGAACGGCACACAGGCGCCACCTTCTTCTCCCGAGCCGCCCCCTGGCAGTGGCAAGAACAGTAGCACTAGCAGTTCACATCCAACACACCAACAGCTGAACATGGTAAGAAGTAAGGCTGTCATGGTGGCGCAATGACATTAACTTTTCTGTATGGGGTGGATTTTGAATGTAAGTCGGAGATCATTTTCTCGCTCAATCTCTTCACACGCACGCGCACGCGCGCTCACACCCACACACGAACAGACACAGACACACGCACACATTCATGCTCACACGCACGCACATGCGCTCTCACACACACACACACACACACACACACACACACACACACCCACACACACACTCATGCACACACACACACACGCACATGCGCTCACCTGGTCCTGGTCCTGGTAAACACTGCCATTACGGTCACGTGTCCCCTCGCGGGGCCGACAACATGGAAAACGACGCGCGTCGGCAGAAAGTCGGCAGTCTGCCGAGAGATCAGGGACCATGTTCAATCGGCACGACGAGAGAGCCATCTCCGGCAGCTATGGATTTGGAATCCACGAGTGGAGCGGCAGCATCGGCCACAGGCCCCACAGTGGGCCTTGCAGCATGAGAGAGCGAGCCGCACACGCAGCGGCGGAGGAGTCGCCTGAGCAGCAATGGTAGACACCGCCGCCCGGCACGGAGCCCGAGACGATGTCGCGGGGAGCATCCGGGAGTTGGGGCACTTGTGGACCGCCAAACCTCCGGCACTGCGGAACCAGCGCTCGCAGGAAGAACATTGTCGGCTACCTCTCTGTTCTGATACAGGTTTGCGGCGCTCATCGAGGCATTATGGCGAGGCAAACCACTCCTGGAGAAGAGACGGCCACACTCGGCACATGCGCTCACACACACACACACACACACACACACACACACACACACACACACATACACACACACACGCACGCACCCACGTACACACACACACACACACACACATCACACTGGGAGTCGATGAGCAGCGGCTTGAGTAACACTAGTTGGTCCGCGGTCTGTAAAACAGTTTTCATGGCATGATTTAGTGTATTTTATTTCACTTCGGTTGTGCAAGAGCAGTGAGGAAGTCGTGAGTATGTCAAGTCAAGTCGGCGGTAGATCCGCATACATGTAGCGAGCAAACCAAAACACAACCCAATCAAATGTTTGTCTCCAAAATTGTTAAGAACTCAGATGGTGGGCCAAGGAGCCAGGGAGCCTTGTCAGTTTTGTGCTAGATTGTGCACATCTGACTGTTCAAAATCTGGTTTAGTTGGTGGACTCGATCGCATAACTTGTGCCCACAATTTCCGTGTTACAAATTATTACCAACCACACAACAAGCCGACCTGTTTGGGAGCTATTACGCGTTGTATTACCAGGAGATAGGCAACAATTGCCGCATACACTATAGTGCTGAAACGATTACGTTTTTTCCTTAGTGGCTTAGCTGATACCATAATGATCGGCTTATCGGCTAAACGATTATTATTGTAACTACATCAGTACATGTACATTCTGTGAATTTCAAAATTTTACGAGTCCAACAATTACATCGCCAACGACGGAAAGCGGGTGCATAGATCCGATGTTCCCGCAACAAGTCTGTCAGCTGTTCGGACTGACCAGACGAATACAGACCAGACAGAGGCAACTCACTGGTTGCAACCCAAGTGCTAAGTCATAATCCTTGTTTCGCTCTTCTGTGTAGTGTGAAGAGGTCAACGAACATGTAGAGCTCACTTTGATGAAGTAGGCAAGGCTGTGAGCGCTGTGGCTCAAAGCGATAGGCCCTAAATCGTACGAGATATTTCGAGCGCCATTGTTTGTTGCGAGCGCTTCGTCTTCGATGAGTCTTGCCTCTTTCCTGTCAGGTTTCCTCCAACAGGACCAAGCACGAAGTAACTGTACTCATCTGCAGCCGATCAATGTTCTACTGCGCAAGAAGATTGCGTTTTCGCCAAGCCAGTGCCCCGCCAAAGACCATCGCCATGTCACAACGTCGGAACGAGTTCATGATGAGAATCATCATTCGCGCGAGCTTGATGAAGAACTATTTCGAAACACAACATAGTCTCTACCTCCGGGACGACAACTATGCGCCGGTCCTGGAAGGGGAGAATGTCTCCAGCGATAAGAACGAAGACGACGGCGGTATTTCGGCAACGTGGAGTCAGCGGAGTTCGTCAAGCTCTTCCGCCTCCGTGATCCGGTACATGTCGACACGAGCGTGCGGGAACACAGCATACACTGTAGGACTGTTGCGAGAGTTTGCGGAAGGAGTCCAAGTCGGGAAATCCATCAGCTCCAAAAGCTACCTGTAGGTGGGCGATGAGACTCCAGCTTCAGACTACAACAGTCAGGACTTGTAAATAGTTGAACTTTGTGAAGCAGCAGATCGAGAAGTTAGTTGAAATCATAGCTGTTGCAGTATGTCGGCGCTATGTAGCTTGTATTTTTTTTACGGAGAGTCGATCGCCACGCGAATGTTTCTCTCCTCACCGAGAGCTAGCTGGCCTCCAAACTCCGTCAGGGTCTGCCTAAGGTACCGAAGGTCCTTTGACTAGCTGCTGGCAGGACTCCATCAAATCCTTTAGCTTCAGCTCGGCGAGCAAAAGTCTCTCTCTCCTCCAACAATCTTTTCGGGATTGGTAAGAAAAGTAGTCAGCTCAAAAGACGACGACGGTGATCACGTCGATGTTTCTCCGATCGCGCTTGTACTTTACACGTACATCGATGTTGCAAGTGGACAGTCATATTCGTGTCGTACTCGCAACACTTTCGATGCATGCACGCTTTGTGCGACCCCAAAAGGGGGGAAATCCCACACCGAGTGTAAGTACATGTACCATTCTACTCGTTTAGCCGATAAAATCGAAATAACCGTTCGATCTATTTCTTATCGAGTAAGTAACGAGTAATCGATATAATCGTTTCAGCACTAATACACTATGCAATATTCTGGTCCAATGCCAGAGCTAGTATTGCAAGCACCGCTGTGCGTTAGTATGGCCAATGCCGACACTAACTGGGGCAACAATTGCCCGGCGAGGATTCAGACGTGTCAATACACGAGCATGCAGTAGGGATGCACTTGTGGGCGAATGTGGGCGCACTTGGCTCGATGCCGGCCTGACCCACGATCCCTACTGTTGAATTCAGACGTGTCAATACACGAGCATGCAGTTTGGATGCACGTGTGGGCGAATGTAGGCGCACTTGGCTCAATGCCGGCCTGAACCACGATCCCTACTGTTCTCCCTTACGGATGGCTTGAAGGATGCACTTGTGAGCGAATATAGGCGCACTTGGCTCAATGCCGGCCTGACTCACGATCCTTACTGTTCTCCCAAAAATACAACATGACCCAAACAGGATTTATCGGCATTACTATTTACAGCAATTGATGCGAGCGCCGTCCAATGCGGCTGCCCATTAGCATAGTGGGCAATGCGCTCTAAGTACTGGATCTGGAACAATGCTGCTGGCACTGACCCAGTCCCTGGGTGTGGCTTGCCCTGGCGCGGGGGCGACAAGCGTCCGGAGCGCTGCAGCGAAGCGTATGTCGTGCTGGAGCTGTCCGCCAGGCCCTGGCGGATGAAGTCCATGGTTGCGTCGTCAACTGCTGAAGGGTGGACTGCGCTGGTTGTGTCGGCACTGCGTCGGCAGTTGGGCTGCGAGTTCGGAAGCGCCGACAACCTGACCCAAACAGGATTTATTTGCATTACTATTACACTACAATTGATGTGAGTGCCGTCCAATGCGGCTGCCCATAAGCATAGTGGGCAATGCACGTACAGGTTCTGGAACAATGCTGCTGGCACTGATCAGTCACTGGGTATGGCTTGCCCTAGTGCAGGGCGACAAGCGTTCGGAGCGCTGCAGCGAAGCGTATGTCGTGCTGGAGCTGTCCGCCAGGCCCTGGCGGATGAGGTCCATGGTTGCGTCATCAACTGCTGAAGGGTGGACTGCGCTGGTTGTGCCGGCACTGCTTCGTCAGTTGGGCTGCAAGTCAGGACGCGCTGACAACCTGACCCAAATAGTATTTATTCCCGTAGCTATGCAGAAGACGTTACTTCAGTAACGTCTGGCGCTAGCCAGGGTCCACACAGCTTTAATTTGGTGTTTGTTTGTTTGTGTGTTTGTGTCACGCCTGGCGCTAAGCCGTATCTGTCCCGTACCGTACTGTACCATCAAACACAGCTGGCCACATACAGCTGGCCGCAATATTCAAATAGGGTTTTCAAACGCAAGATCATAACGTGAAGCAACTTGGAAGAATGAGTATGAATGCGAAGTGTATGGGGGAATGCATGTAAGGCGATAGTGCGAGTTCCAATCCCAGGTAATGCCTGAAAAAATAGGAGAATTGAAAAATGTATAACATCTCTTTTCTTTTTTTGCCGTCATCAAGGCGGTAGACGGTGCGTATTACCCTCGACCGTACGTGTCCCGTACCTGTCCCGTACCGTACCGTACAATCAAAGACGGCTGGCCACAATGCATATTCAAATAGGACTTTCAAATACAAGATCATAACGTGAAGCAACTTGGAAGAATTAGTATGTATGCGAAGTGTATCGGGGGATGCATGCAGGGCAATAGTGCGGATTCGAATCCCAGGTTATGTCTAAAAAACAAAAAGTAGAAACTTATAAGATTTTATACCATCCCTATTTTTTTTTTGTCTAGGTCATCAAGGCAAAAAAGCATAGCGTAGGGCCCTGAGCTTCCAAGCTCTCTCGTCTGCATTACTATTACACTGGAATTTATGTGAGTGCCGTCCAATGCGGCTGTCCATTAGCATAGTGGGCGATGTGCTCGAAGTACAGGATCTGGAACAATGCTGCCGGCACTAATCAGTCCCTGAGTGTGGCTTGCCCTGGCGCAGGGCGACAATGGTTCGGAGCGCTGCAGCGAAGCGCATGTCATGCTGGAGCTGTCCGCCAGGGCGGCGGATGAGGTCCATGGTTGCGTCGCCAACTGCTGGAGGGTGGACTGTGCAGGGTGTGTCAGCACTGCGTCGGTAGATGGGCTGAGAGTCCGGAAGCGCTGTACTCGAAGACGAGTAAGAGACTTAGCAGGATCATTGCAGAGCCGCCGTTGGGCTGAGAGTCCACATCAGCCAGTCTGTTGAACAGAAGGGGGAGGATCTAAGGCCAAAATTAATGGTGGTGCCTGATCTACATTGTACGAACCTTCCCAAAAATGCCAAGCCGGGATAGACATGAGGGGAAACAGGCCAAAGCCGCCAGGCATACTTCGTGTCAGCTTTAGAGAGGAGAGCTCAGGGACTGTGTTGGGAAATGCAGTGCATTGCGCCGTCTACAGTGACATAATGTAGGGAGAGCTCGTCAAAGGAAAGGCCGTCATTAATGCCAGAGCCGCTAGGAGCAGGTAGGTGCATGATGAGGCACACACCACCAGACGTCTTGGGCACAATGCCAATGCCAGAGCATCGGATATTATGAAACGGGGGGGGGAAGTGATCGATCGTACTCGTACACAGCCTAGGCTGGAGCCTAATTTTCTGAGCCATCTTCAAGATTATGGGCTGGTACGAAAACAGGTCCGGGGCCCTGGAGGGGTGTGCTGCTGCATAAGTCGCACAATACGTGGTCCAAGCGTCGAGCCAGGCGCCAATGTCCTCGACTCTCCTGGACTGGAGTGCCCGCTTACAGGTGCTAGAACCACTGGGCCGTAGGAGCTGTAGTTGTCAAGTTGTAAAACGCTGCGGCTGGTGTCCCCTTGGGACTGACTAGTCACTTGGCAATAAGGAACCAAATCAGAGTCAACGACTGGCCAGTCACTACCTTATCATGAACGGGTTTCGGCACCGTAGCATAAAAGGTTTTCTTACCTGCGGCGGTTGAGGTGGCCGTGGCGACAGCCAAAGCAGGCAGAGTGCCTTGCCGTGCGTGGGAGAGCTCCCGCGCCGCACGAACGTTGTGCGAATTGCCGGGGCTTGGATTGGAAGCGCCGGCGTGTGGGTTGTCAGCACGGCTGGAGCTGCAGCCCGAGTTCCAAGGGCAGCGCAAACCTCCTCCCGACTAAAGTCTCCCAGGGATGGGGCTGCAGTTGCCTCGGCTAGGTTCTGCTCCGCTGCCGGAGCGGCCAAGTCCTCGCGTACAGTAGTCTGGAGCCAACTTCAACTCGAGCAGGTGAGTCCGCGGAGTAGGTTTTGTTCCTGTCGTGTCTAAATTGCGGGATGCCAGTGCGTTTCGCAGCTCAGCAGAGCGCATTTTGGCTGGACATCGCTCACTGACAGAGACATGGTTGATCGGATATTGATCAGAAATTGGCCGCGATTGTCAAACAATTTGACCGTCACTGCGTCAGCGCAGCAAAGCAAAGAGCGTTTTGGCTGGAGATCGCTCACTGACAGAGACATGGTTGACCGGATATTGATCAGAAACTGGCCGGGATAGTCAAACAATTTGACCGTCAGCACAGCAAAGCGAAGAGCAAGAAACAACAGCATGGCGAATTGGAGTAATGCGCATGCTCCGCACAGTCCCGTGCGGAAACGCGGGAATTCGGAGTGCATGCATGTTATGCATGTACAAGTGTTGGTTATAGCAAGGATGTTGGTGTGTTGCTAACTCCACTTACCGTGCCATGCACGGAAACTTATATTTTCCAAAATTGTTCTGCATGTTTTTCGTTGGTGTGCTCCATTTCCATGATGCAGGTTGATGTGAGGACTTCAAATGTGCCCACACCACTCGAGCAGGTTTCTACTGCTGATGAAAGCAGTCGCAGCAGCAGAAGCGACAGTGGCAACAGCACCAGCAGCAGTAGCAGCATCAGCAGCGACAGCGGTGGCAGCAGCAACAGCATTGACAGCAGTAGCAGTATTGGCGGCAATGGCAGTAGCAGCGGTACCAGCAGCAGCAGCAGCAGCAGCAGCAGCAGCATTGCTGGCAGTAGTGCAGCACCAAACCCAGGATATCAGAATATGGTAACTTACGTGGCATTGTATCCAGTGTTGGACAATGGCCCATCACACGTGCCCAAAATTCTCACTTTCCTCATTGTTCTTGTGGTACATACAGGCTGGAGCAAGTGCCTTCTCTAGTGCAGCACTATTATCAGGGGAACGCAAGTTTACCAGCGTCATGGCACTGGCCACTGATGTGACGCCTATCTATCAGAACCTGGTGAGTTGCAACGCCACATCTGCACCTCTCATGCAACCACTAAGTAAAAAGTAAATTATCGTATCCGTTCCCGAAGGGAACTCACGACGGCCGCTAACACCCGATAAACCCTAGCGGCAGATGCAGCGCCTAACAGTGGGGGTGAGTGGGCAAGTCTCACAACCACTGGCACAAGTGCCGAAAACGACCCCATTAGCTGCATCCATGTACCCCTTGTGCCTGGCCACAAGTTCCCAGTTGACTGTGGGTAGCAACCACTACAAATGTCAATTATACAATATAGGGGAAAGCTATACTCTCGGACCTCGTTTTCCGGGCGGTTCCACAACGTTGAAATGTCCGTAACTCCGAGTCACATACGTACATTTTGATGGGGAAGGGCCATAGATTTGGCATGTGACGTCACTATTTCCACCAACAGGGACAAAAGAGTAGTGATATTACCACTTGAACTCGCCCAAAGGGTTCCCAGTAGACTGAAGTGCACGTAACTTTGGGGTTCGCATACCGTAAAGTCTTGTATAAAAGCCGCACTTGAATAGAAGCCGCCCTCCAATAGAAGCCGCAATTTTGGGCCCATCAAATCACACATAAGCCTGGTTTAAGTGTTGACGTACATAGAAATACCTGTCTTGTATAGAAGCCTGTCTCATATAGAAGCCTGCAAACTCCCCAAGAAAGTCATAGAAGCCGCGGCTCTTATACAAGACTTGACGGTAACCGAAGTATGGGTGTGCTAAGTAGAATTTCCTCAATTTCTCTTCTGTCCGTCGCCCCCTGCACTGCTCCCCGAGCCACACGCAGCTATTCCAGCCCTTGTTTCAACTCATTTTAAAAGAAAAGAAGAGAACTTCTACAGTCCATTCATAAAAAAGATGAGCCCTGGCTCTGGCAAGCTCCCGTGTTGGGCGACTTTTCGTGATTTTATCGTACACAGTGAAGTGCTGCAAAATTTGAAATTTTGAAAAAAGGGTCCAAAAAGGGTACCTGGACTGGGGTTCGAACCGCACAGCACATTGTTGCAGGCGGGGTCAAATGGCCTGGATTTTGATAGCTTTCCCCAATGCTTTCGGGGCAAAACCTGGCCGAAATCCTATTCTTGTTAGGGCTTGCTTTTTGTAGAAATAGACTTCAGAAACACAATTGGAAGAGGATTCCATAGGGGATTGCAGAGAAAGTTCCAAAAAACTCAAAGTTTGACCCATTTATGGCCAAAAGCTAGAAGTCCATCTTTTTATGAATGGACTGTATAAAGTTGAAACACGTCAAGTGCTGTCTTTCCGGATTTCTTACAGAGTGAAGCCATGGCCACATCAACTTTAGAATCACCTAGCACCTACAGAGAACCAGTTTGCAATGTTCCTCCACTGCCAAGGCGACAATTCACAGCACCGGCACCAACCGCGGAGCTTATACCAGAACCAGTAAGCAGCATCCGTCTTTCTCCTCTCTGTGTAAGGCTAAGAAGGTCACTTTCCGAGAAAAAATAATCTGGTTTCATGATTTGCTTCTCAATACATGTTCCTAAGGGATACCGTTGCTCATCTTGTTGTAACCAGGGAGTCGTAAAATACGGTATTTTACGACTCCCTGGTCGTAACACCTGTCCTGATTCCTCAGGCGCGTGCGCCACTGCCCTTCAAGGGGGGGGGGTTACAGGGGGCCTCCCCCAGGAAAATTTTCAAAAAATGAAGCAAAATCCTTCATTTTGAGCAAAAAAAGGGTTGTTCCGGGCACCCAGGAACCCATACGGGGCACGCGCCTGTTCCTAAGTTTCTAGTCGAGGAGTACAGTACATGGCGCTGCGGTAGATCGACACTGCACGTAGCCTGTGCTTGTGTTGTTCACGTCCATGATTTACAAACTGACACTGTGCTGCAGATCTACTGTACAATCATACAATCACGTGCTACAGTAGATACGCCAGCTACCGTGTCGAGGCCGGCCGGAGAGCGCAGTCGTGGTGTGGTCGATGATGGAGAAAAATGTGTCCGTATTGTGTTTTGAAAGCATGCGATTCCAACTAACACAATCGGATTGTCGTAATTACAACTTCACAACTTCAATACAATCATTTCCGCAATATTTTGGCTGTTGAATTTTGATTAAACCGGAGGCCCTCCCCCCCCCCCCCCCCCCCCCCCACTGTAAAGATCTCTAGATCTGCCTCTGTTTTCTTGACCCCTACAATGTAGGTGCGGTATACCAATATGTTAGGGTGCCAGTTTGGGATGAGTAGTAGGCATTTCCCAAATCGGCCCGATTTTGTCGCCTAATCGGCTTTTCGATCGGCTAAGAGAATGTCCAAATTCGGCCATACTATGATATCCAAAGTCAGAATTCGGCTCAAAGCAGTACTTGAAGTCACCGTTCGCAGTATACAATGTACATTTACAGTCTACTTGGCTAATAACGACTGCGGATATAACGACAATTCGCGAATAACGACAGAATAACCATGCCCAGAGCAAAGTCCCATCCAACTGTAATACATATAATGGGACTTCGGGTATAACGACACTTCGCGAATAAGGACACTTTTCTGATGCCCCGCCGAATGTCGTTATACGCGAAGTTGACTGTATCTGCACGCTGTAGAAGCACTAAAAACATCGATTTTCTGCGAATTCAGCTCGAAAATAGTTAATTTGGCGATTTCTCCACAGCCATTGATTTCGGCGTGTATTCCTGCTGGCCGAATTCAGTGCGAAAATTGCATATTCGCCGAAAGATCGGTGATTTCTTCAAAACCACTGTTTTCGGCGAATTTTTCGGCCGGCTGATTTGGGAAATGCCTAATGAATGGACTGGAGTGCCTTGGATCCTGGGGACACAGTACTAGCTCTGCCGATGTTGTGATGTGCATTGTCAGCATGTCTGATGTTTCTGTGCCATGTGCAATGTAGGTATTCGTTGCTGTTGATCACGTATACCCGGACAAACCGGATCCTCAAGTTCGTCCACAGGATATGATGTAATCTTTAAAAACATATTTTTGGTAATACCGTAAAGTACCGCCAGAGCGTCCCACCATCTCGTCCTTTCTTGGTCGTATTGTGGAGGTGGTCTCCTGTCTGTAGGTCATACGACACAAACTTTGTAGACACACTGCATGTTCTGCAGACAATCTCTGTACCTTCAACCTGACACGAGCTCCACACAAAAACCTGCTTTAATAGGTGTGACCTTGCTACACTAAGGATTTCACACCATACACACTTCGTTGCACTCTGCCATACGATTTTCCTTTCCCTGGCTGTAAAATCAAGGTGGCGTGGTCTCGCGAGACGGGGCGCTCTGGCGGTACTTTACGGTGCTATGTTTCATGTGCCTTGTAGTACTGAGTTGTTACTTCTTTGGGGCCAACAACACTTTTCTATAAACATAGCCTCTACATTTGGGCAGTGCTGCCTTTAAAGGGGCACTCCGGCTTCATTTTCGACGCCGAGTTTTCGATGCCAAGACGAAGGTTGGTGAAAGAGAAGACCCCTCGAACAAGAACGAGTCTCCAGAAGCGATCGAGTCGAGCAGGAAGACGACTTTTGAATTTCGGCCGAGCGAGCGCTGATGACGTAATGAGGGATTAGCTTGCCAGTGGAAATGCATCTGCGCACATACATTTCACATACTTTTTGGCCAATTTTCAATCGAAGAGGAGGTTGTTTTCTATGTTCTCTCAACGTCGTGAGCGATCCCGTCTTCTATACCCTTCCAGGTACCCTGAAGGACCTCTAGAGGAGAATTTATCTCCATCAAAGCGTTGTTGATCCGCTAAATTCGTCTCGAGACATATTCACCCAGTGCAGTGCTGACAAATGCAGAATGTTGAATCTGTGATAATTGTCGACGATGGACAGAAAGGTTGATAGCCGCTGTCGCAGGGAAAGTGAAGCGGCTGGAAGTAACAACGGGGAGCTTGTTAGCATCACTTGATCAAAGCAGCTAGACGGAATCGGGGAGTACTGACTATTTGTCTCGCCCTCAGTTTAGTGAATTTTATGATCAGAAAATTTTTCGATCACAATCCCTTCTACAAGATGTGTAGTACAGGTGATTTCTGAACTTGACGATATGGAGACCGACCAGTTGTCCTACCAACAACGTGTACCTGCAGGAAATTCACCCAAGGCTATTGCTAATGCTATCCTCTTCAGTGGCTGTTGTTTTTTTAGTAAAAATATGTTCACTTCTCTCAACATATTCCTGCATGGCAGCAAGAAGGTGCGCTATGGAATTCAACGCCATAATCTTCGCCCAGCTGTGGATGAAGCATGGTCAAGTCATGGCAGTACATATACTTGAACCAGATGAGAAATTGAAGTTCATTTGTGATGCGAAGTTTGACAGCCCCAGTGACCGAGTCAAGCGTTGTCTTTTGCCGTGGCACAAATTGCTGAAGAATCCGAGATGTTCTTGGAATTATGCACATGGATACTACCAGAAATAATGGTGGCATGAACCATTGTGGAATGGGACAGCTCACGGAGAATACTGGAATAGCTCAAGTATCTCTAGGCGATTGTAAATCCTGTTCTGGCTGATAGCTTCGGCCTGCTGCGCCCGTCCATGTACAATGATGGGAACATGCATTTCTGTTTTCTACATATTTGCTCTCTACTGTACTGTGGTATTACAGTTGCAGGTCCCTTATATAGAAATATGTTTACCCCCCACCCCACATACCCACATAAATAGGAACTAACAATTTCACTGTTGGACTCGCCGGTGGCTAGAGAGCAAAGGATGAATTTATAGCAAAGAAAAGGACCAGGGAACTACAAGTTACGCTATAATGTCCACGAACTATTTCACTGTATTTGAAATAATTTTGTTTGATACCCTGAGAACTCTGAAACTTTGCAGCACTGTGGATTATATGTGGATACAACATTTATGGAAGGAACACATAGTTCAAATAATTATAGCACTGGATTGTTGAGATTGTGAGCACATTCCAATCAGTATTCTACATATTTATAAGCGGTGGCAATCGTTAGGAATAGGTCGTGAGTTGTCAGAGTGCTCTAGTATATGAGAGAATGTTTTGTTTGTCTAATCGACGGCTCGTTTGAAGCCAGAGTTGTTTGAACTTGCTTCAGTCGACTTGATTCTAGACAGTAGTCGAAGGAGTACTATGAAGTATACACCAGGCGTAGTCTGTAAGCTATCTCGTGAGAATTCTGTCGGTACACATCAGGTATCAGCTTGCAAAGATGGCTCCTCTCTGTTTCTTGAATGTATAGTTGGACTGTGGCTCCAGCGATTCCCTTCTCAGAGCAGGTACCATACCCAATGCGGTCAATGCATATTGGACAGACCTGTGTGCACAACAGAAATAGTGCAGAGAAATCTCTCAGCTCATGAACACATCAGTGAAGTTTGAACTGCCGTTGTTTGTGGCCATCAGTATAAACCTATCGACTATAAGAATAATGTGCAAAAAACCCTCTATAACTACAGCTGGGGCCATGGAATTATAAAGCATCTAACTTAGGGTACTGCCAATTCGGGTCGGAGTTGCGTTCGAGGCCTGCAATTCATGATGGCTATCGTATGTTGCATTGACCAGAGATCATATAAAACTTCCATGCCACATTGAAACACGCACTACTTTCGAGTACTTTGGTATCCCCCACCAAATGGGCATTCGTTCTCGGGGTGGCAGGCGTCACCATTCGTTATGCCTGGATCAGATTTCATTGACCCCAACTGTCATGAAGAATCATTTTTACTTCGACTGGATTTCAGTACAAGTTAGTTGTAGAACTGCAGATTAAATTTTGTTGTATTTGGGCAACCATTTCTCTACAAACGCTCTATTTGGAAAATAATTTTTTTAATAAAATACATGTCCAAATTCCACATCTACCCCAATCGGAATACTTGATCACGTATTCAGTCCTACACGGAATGTTTAGAAAACGCCAGGGAATAGGAATTTGCTAACGAGAACTCCAGGCCAGGGTACTAGCATGAACAAAACAAGATAAAAACTCACCAGTATACTTGTAGTAATTCATGTCGGTGTAATATTCACGATAAGCAACGAGGCACCCTCCGATTTGGTCAAGCTGCTTTGAAGTCTGGTTGTTCAGGTGATACAAACGGGCTCCCTGTTGTTACTTCCAGCAGCTTCACTCTCCCTGCGACAGCGGCTATCATCTCTCTCCAGCGTCGACAATTATCACAGATTCAACATTCTACATTTATCAGCACTGCACTGGGTGAATATGTCTCGAGACGAATTTAGCGGATCAACAACGCTTTGATGGAGATAAATTCTCCTCTGGAGGACCTTCAGGGTACCTGGAAGGGTATAGAAGACGGGATCGCTCACGGCGTTGGGAGAACATAGCAAACAACCTCTTCTTCGATTGAAAATTGGCCAAAAAGTGTGTGAAATGTATGTGCGCAGATGCATTTCCACTGGCAAGCTAATCCCTCATTACGTCATCAGCGCTCGCTCGGCCGAAATTCAAAAGTCGTCTTCCTGCTCGACTCGATCGCTTCTGGAGACTCGTTCTTGTTCGAGGGGTCTTCTCTTTCACCTACCTTCGTCTTGGCATCGAAAACTCGGCGTCGAAAATGAAGCCGGAGTGCCCCTTTAAGGCGGTGTTGCCTTTAAGGCTGTTTTGCCTTTAAGGCTGTGTTGCCTTTAAGGCTGTTTTGCCTTTAAGGCTGTGTTGCCTTTAAGGCTGTGTTGCCTTTAACCCTTTGAGGCCCATAGTACGGATATATCCGTACCAGTGTACAGTGCATATTTTTCAAAGCGCAACCTGGCGCAACTCGGCCGTCGCTTGACCAGATCGGACAATCGAAAGGGCTATCGACATTAGAATTGTCTCAGCTATCGGCTCGAAAAAACCCGAAAGCAATCCGAGTTCGGAGAGCGGAGATACGAGACTCGAACTAAATTCGCTCAGCAGAGTCAACTCGAGCGCGTGCATTTTGAACTCGTTTTTAGGGGTTTTCCCTGACTCGCGGCCCACGCAGCTACAGATAGTTCACGTCATCGCAAAGGCATGTTTCTCAGCTCTCCAGTAAAAAAATTTGAGCGATCTGCGATGCAATTTGTTGAAATGGCAGAGAATTTGAGTTGGGCGCTCGCAATGCTGGCTTTGGAGCGCCGCATCGCGCTGCGGCGCTGGTTCTGTGGATCGAGTGATGTATTGCTGGCTATCGCTGTATTCCTCTGGCCAAGAGCTTTCCAGAAAGCCCAAGATCACCAAAATCGGCCAAAGGACACCAAAGTTACGACCAGATAAGTACCCGGGCTCGTGTATGCAGTGCATTTCTTGAAATAATTGTGGGCCCTAAAGGGTTAAGGCTGTGTTGCCTTTAAGGCTGTGTTGCCTTTAAGTCTGTGTTGCCTTTAAGGCTGTGTTGCCTTTAAGGCTGTGTTGCCTTTAAGGCTGTGTTGCCTTTTAAGTAGGGCTGAAACGATCCTGGATTTTCACCTATGGATTACTCTTTAGCTTAACGATCCAGTAATCGATTATAATCTTTAGCAAATAGCGTCAGAATTTTGTGCAAAAATTCTCCTGTTTCCGAAAGTTAGGCCTTCATAATACCAAAAATCTGCATTAGTGACAGGGTAGCTCCAAACCATGACAGTTTTGAAGTCAATTTATATGCACCATGCCCCTGGCAACTGCATACACACAGCGGAAACTGATTCAAACTTCACAAAACGAGGTTTTTCAGTACTTTTTGGACTCAAAATTCCTAACGAGTAATCTATAACGTAACGATTACTTGATTGATAAGGAATTATCGATCGCTTACCGAGTAATTGGTATAATCGTTTCAGCCCTACTTTTAAGGCTATATTGCCTTCTAAGGCTGTGTTGCCTTTTAACGCTGGGTTGACTTTCTTTGAATTCTTGATGAGTGCTGTGCCAATAAGAATTTTTTTGTTTGCCCTCATTGTTCTCCACATATTCAGCTGGTATCACGGCCATAAAACCTCAAGGAATGGCGCTGTGTCTCTGCTAAAAGATGAACGACCCGGAAGCTTCCTATTGCGCAAGCATCGATGGGACACTGTGTCCTTCATCCTCTCATTCAAGTAAGCCGACAGAACTTGGGGTTTAAAGTGTGTTTTTGAGCAGAGTATGTCTGAAAAATGTTTGAGAATACCGTAAAGTACCGTTGATCCGCCCCCCACGCCAAGTCGCTTCCCAGCTTGTTTTTCATAGGGGGGGGGGGGGGAATTCGATCAAGGCTGTTTGGTGCAGTGTCGTTGTACGACAATGCGGTGTTGAATCTTTCAGACGCAAACAGGTCAGAAAGGTCAAACTCGACGTACACATTCACACAGACTCTCCCCCGAATGTTTGTTTACGCGCTAGAAAGTAGTACGAGGTTGGCTGTATGCATATGGACACGAGTACAGAAAGACGCATAATTTCTCTACCGTATAATTCTGAAGTCGCTTCAGAGACAGAAAATCGAGGGGGGCGGGAATTAAAGTGGGGGCGGACCAACGGTACTTTACGGTACCAGGTATATGTGCAAGTGGATCTCTCCAATTTCGCTCAAATTTGCCAGTAGGAATAAGCGGCGCGGAGACAATAACTTTATTATGGCAATCAGCAGAATCAGCGAAACGGACGTTGGACGTAGTAATCAAAAAAATATACTATGGATAATACAATTTCCTAACAAGTTTTCTAGAGACATTCATCATGGAAAGACGTCTCAATAATGAAATCTAGTAATAAACAACAATATATACGTGGAAGAGTACCAAATACACCATGTGAAAGAAAATAGGAGAAAAGAAGGTGAAGTAGGTTCCCTTTGGGGTGTAGATTGACTGTGCAAATCCTTTGAAAATGTTCCTGAAGGGAACGTTGAAACTGGCATACCCCTATAAAATTGTCGAAAAATCAAGTGATTTATGGGTCTACAAACAAGTCCCGCCACAGCGTATACAAACAAGCTACGAACAAAACTCCATCAAGAAAACATTGACTCACCTTAGAAGAGTTCCTGGGGCAGTACGCATCCCAGAAAACGAGGGCCATCAACCCCTGACGCCACAAATGATCGTCTTGAAAATAGCCAATTTATATGTGCTGATAAAACTACGAGCTACGTCCCCAATAATGAGCCGTCAGATGCGAAAAGGGTGCTTATGGCATATTTTGGTCAAATTGAGATAAGGACTCAGGCAAAATCTATAGGCTTTTATGCTTCACCTCCAAAAAACTGGACTCAAAAATCCAAAACCCATCATGGAGATATTGTCAATTTAGTATCCCGAATTTTTGCCACTTTTACGGTCCAAGTTGCGGAAAAATTGCTCTCCTGATTGGCCGCACAAATCACGGAATAAAGCTGGTTGCCACAGTTCTTGGTAAGTAAGTGTAACTGAGGTGAATACATTGGCATCATTAAAGCAGCAGAAGTGACTAAAATCACAGTTTACCATGGGCCAGAAACACCAGTTGGGTTACAATTGCAAAGGAAAATCAGCATTAAATATCACGCTCTATTTACAGCAAGAATTATTGTTGTTCCTCCTCACCAGCAAATGAATAGCTAAATGACTGCCTCTGTCTCTTTTTGCCCTTGGAGTATAGTTCAGCTGTGCATCTTCCACTCTCAATAAGTCCCAGTAAGATTGCATTCCTTCTGCTCCTTCTCCATCTCCATAAAATTCAACCTGCTCTCCGTAATTCGAGCTGACGAAAATTGTTGGAGGCACTCATCTCGGCATCCACACGCAGGAATCGCTTGCACAGGAGCTGCTGTTGCTGCTGCTGTTGCCGCACCAGCACGCGTTTGCTCCTGGGAAGATGAGCCACCAAAAAAGAGCTCCGTAACTTCAGCAACGTTGATTTCGATTGGTTCTGCATTGTCCTCTTCTTCATCAGAAATTTCATCGCTGTTTTCGGGTGCTGCACTTTCGCTCGGGTCAAATACCTCGTCTGGCTCGCACTCTGAGTGAGTCGCCAAAAAATTCAACATCCATGTCCTGAAGAACTTTGGCTAAAGCCTCATCCACAGTAAAGTAAGACTGCCTGCTCATCTTGAAATTTGTAATAGGACAGAGAAGTCAAGCAGGTCAGGAGACAAAAGAATTATTTCGTTCAAAATCAGATCGGAGCTCGCGCCACCAAAAAAATGGCAGTTTCTTTTGTATGGAACTCCGCCGTGCTTTGCGGTATCAGGCCGGTTGAAGTATCTACGGAAAGCGGGGAGTCTCAGCAGTGCGCTAGTGTACATACCAGCGCTGTGGGATGCACACTCACACTGCAACGATCGAAAAATGACGTCACGTCAAGATTCACTCATGCACGTGACCGGTACATGACAGCCTGTCACTCTGACGCACTGTACTCGATTTGCTGTGTGATGCCATAAGCACACTTTTCGCATCTGACGGCTTAGCAAACACTATACACCAGCAGATAGTAGAATACCTCTTCTAGCACTGAGGACATGTCCCCAATCTTCCTTTGGGGGTTTCTTGAAATCAACAATTTTGAATTTTTCCACTTCACCATGCCGAAATAAGGCCAAACTCATACCTGCACGGGAAAGCTCGCCCCTCCGCGACGCCTCCTCAGAAATGTCTAATCCAACACTACTCCCAACGCTGCGAAAGAATGTATATTGTTGACTCCGACAAGAAAATGCAGCGGTGATGACTGGTCACTCCAAATGACAAGCTTCTCCTTTGGCCACCAACAATGTTTGGTGTGACTGTTGGTGTAAAAGTGACTGAAGTCCTGTGCATAGATGTGATGCTAATTATTCTTATGTTTCGGTGGCTCTGGTGGCTTGTAATTTATTTAAGGAGAATGCGCGAAAACTGGTTCTTGAATTCTGGAGTCCTTACTGATGATGATGGTGATGAGTAGCTTGAGGTTGGTAGTTTTTCTTTACCATGGATAGCCGACATTTCGGTCACATCTGTGGGTAGGCATCATACTCCGGCAAACACATGTGTACGGTGTGAGGTGAGTGAGATCAACCAAGAACGAACGGATGTGACAATGGGTGTCTTAATGGGGTTTGAGGCAAAGCACAAAGAACAGACTGACGTGCTCTAGGAAAGGGGAACAAGCATGGCGAGAGACACATTCACTGCAATTCTTGCACATTTGAACTATTACAAGAGAAATATTGCTCGTTAATCGAATGTTCTCAGGTCAATCAGGCCGCGATCACACCAAGCGTGATTCAGCCATTCAGCGGAAAAAGCGCTTTTTGACATCATCGTTGCTACAGAAACGGTTGAATTTTTGACTCCAGCCGTTCTCAGCAGTCAGCCGTTTTTCGAAGCGCTGAATGGAGCGCTGAATGAATTCAGCAACTTTCAGCCCTTCTGGCGCAATGACGGGAAAACAAACTCATGCAAACCCAAAGCGCATCTTGCCATCGATGCGCACCATGACATCGGTGCAGAGCAAGACGCAGACAACGGCACGGAGTCTAGTTTCAGGATCCATGGCTGTACTACAAGCTCAAACCTCCCTCTATCTTTCAAACAAGCACCCTGACTCCAATGTGGCAAGGAAGCTCCTCTCCCAATACAGTACCAAAAACTCTGCTGATTGCCACGTGCAAGTTTAACAGAAAATAAAATAAAAAATGAGCGTGAAGAAAAAACCTCCAGAACACGCAAAACAAATTCAGCGGATCTCATGGGTCGATGTGACCGACCGCTTCATTCAGCACAAGCCAATTTCAACGCAAGCTGGAAACGGCTTGTTTGGTGTGACCGTGGCCTTGACAACATCTTGAACCTGGACTTCACTTCTCCAAGATTAATTCTATCTAAAAGAAGGAAGAAGGACCAAGGAACTGCAAGTTACGCTATAACTTACTGTCCACGAACTAACACAAACTTCCTTGGCTCTCCATCCGAGTCATCAATGCTATCGTTGATGCTTTTCTCGCCGCAATGTGCCAATTTCCTCTTTCCTCCTTCTCTTGTCCTTGGTTTCCATGGCTGGCTAACACTCCCATCCTTGGTATATTGGCTACTGTTATTGGGTGGTGATACATGAATTGGTACTAGAACCAGGGATACACATACAAGTGTGCGAAGAGTGCCCAACATGCTGTGGAGAAGGAGCGTCCAGCAGTAAAACACTGGAGAGAAAGGCTCTTAGCTCTCTGTCCACTGTTCGACTGTAAATAAATACCACGTATGAAAATCCTCACTCTTGCATACACACGTCACTGCCTCTGTGACATTACTGTGAATCTGATCCTGGCTGCTCATACATTATTTAAAATTGCCTATGGGCATGAAACTATTACTTACAACCGGATGATTCGTGCTGCTCCGTGACTTGCGTGTACAGGTGTATAGTTTCTTTCTCTCTGCCCTTGGGCTGCCTCTAAGAAGAGTGCTTCCGATTGGTAATCTTTTGTATCGCACACATTCTGCCTGATTGCAATGCAGAGCTTTCACGTCAGTCATGCATTTGAAGATCAGAGTAAACCCTAACGGCCTCTATATCCTGGGAGAAAATGGCAAGCCATTCCCGACATTGTCACACATGATTACCTGCTATCAAAGAAGCCCAATGCCCGTATCACAACTTGGTGACATCTTCCTCACGCGCGGCATTCCGCCCTGCCATGAACACCCCGATGAGCGGTCACCGATCTAGTAGAGTACTATAGCAGACTTGTCCCTCACTGGACTGCACGACGGTATGTACATACATTGCATGTTGGCATTCAAGCATCGCAGCTCATTGTGAATGCACCATCGCAGCAGTCCGACATCCACCACTATGGCTTGTGTTCGACAGGAGAAGGTATGACGTCCAGCGGCCAAAGAGAGTCGGAAAGTTTGTGTCTTTGTGGATACCTCCAGCACTGCCGAGCCACAACACTTTCAGCAGAGACTTCTGTGTGTGTGTGTGTGTGTGTGTGTGTGTGTGTGTGTGTGTGTGCGCGCATGTGTGTGTGTGTGCGAGTGCGTGCATGCTTCGTATGTGTGTTTGTGTGTGCATGTGTGTTACTGTTGTGAGAGTGGACCACAGACACTAACTGTTTAAAGTTGTGTTAATGTTCTCATGCATACAAGCTGCCCAGTATCATACCAAACATTGGGTAGTGGTAGAATCTCAGAAAATCTCATCCAATGATATTATGTACAGTCAACTTTGCTTATAACGACACTCGGCGGGGCATCAAAAGGGTGTCCTTATTTGCGAAGCGTCGTTATACCCGAAGTCTCATTATATGTATTACAGTGGGATGGGACTTTGCTCTGGGCATGGAAATTCTGTTGTTATTCGCGAATTGTCGTTATACCCGCAGTCGTTATTAGCGAAGTTGACTGTAATAGGTTTTGCAGGCAATACATTCCCTGTCTCTCTGCACCATGGCACATATTCAAAGGTACGTTAAACACGACATGATCATAATATTATCACTACAATGACAAGCAAAGCTTCCTACACAATCTCGTAGTGGATTGTAGCACGGACTTCTAAACTTTACTTTATTTCAATTTTTATGATCAAAACTCAGCATCAAAATCGGGTATAGTTGATGGACTCGATCGCATAACTTGTGTCCGTACTTTTCTATGGCACTATTTTTTTAATGATTAGACTATTGTTTTCTTTGGCTACACATTCAATCTGTCAGATTTTGCTCCAAAGAAGCCCAACATCACACGCTCTATCTCGCTGCAAACATTTCTGTCACATCTTGCACGATATAGAGGGCTGCACATTCACCTCAGTATTATTAGGTTCACCTCACCGTCTGTTTCTCATCAATCCTGATGATCACCCTGGGTCGAAATATTGATGGAGAATTTAAAAAAAAGAGAGGACCATAAGTTTACAAGTTATTCGTTTTGTCCAACACTAACGATGATAAGCAGGATACTGTTGAGTCAAAAATGCGCAACAATTAGCACAAAACTGACTGATGTGATGCTGGCATTCAACGACATGATGCTTAGCTGCACCCCGTCTCGGGTTGCGCAAACCAACAGCCTTCCATCTTGGAAGGTTCTAAGTTGTGAAGTAACGTAAGACAGGAGAAGCTGAGCGCACTCTAGACGAAAACAAGCTTTTAAACATCACAGCGAACTAAGAATGTTAGCTATGACAAGATGATGACGAAGGACCACGGCACAGGACGGCCACGGCTCACTTCAAAAACGCGAAACAACGACCACCCAACTCAGGAGACTCATGTTATCAGAGATAAGCAAAGCCTGTATTCGTTAGTGTTGGACAAAGTGGATAACTTACCGGTACTTGTAAACCTAGGGTGACAGTAGGGTCCTCTCTTTTTTTAAATTTGTAATCCTTGGCTCTCCATCCGAGAAATGTTTTTCAACTGCAGAGACCGGGGGCTAGACCGTATACAATGTATATGTGTGTTTTGAGCGATCTTTTTTATTTTCTTGTTCTTGTATAATTTCGCATGGAACAAGACATGAGCTGGTGGGGTGTTTGATTGAATGCTGTAAACGTTCCGGGATTAGCACCGCACCGTACTGCAAACACCGCACTGTGGTTGTTGTTGTTGATTTTTATTTTATCAACGACAACAACGACGACGACAACGACAACAACAACATCAACATCAACATCAACAACAACAACAACAACAACAACAACAACAACAACAACAACAACAACGTGAGAATAAAAGATTTCAAACAGTGTAGTGTGGTCACTGACTGTAGTGTTTGCAGTACAGTACGGTGCTAATCCAGCAAACACCACGCTGAGTACATGTACATGATTGTACAAGTACCAGGAGAAGCAGCCAAACTCAATGCAGGTGTGTCAATTCTATGCTTCTTTTTTCATTACTTCGAAGCCTCATATTCATATTCACTGATGAGTCCTATAGAAATAAGAAATATGATGGCGGTAGTCTTGGCACTAGCCCTTTTCAAAAGATGCCAAAATGTTTCGCAACTTATGCCTTTCGCAACCATGCCAAAACAAGTTAAAAAGTTGCGGAAATCACATCCATATTTTCAGAAAAAGCTCAGAAGTTGCTAATATCCCAACTCGAAATGGGCGAGTTCTGGTACATATTATTCATGATGCCAAAAACAACCAAAAATGGAGCGGATATAGACACCACTGTGGCGCGGCACAACTACATGTACTACCTGAGAGATAGGGAAATGTCCGTTTTGCTGAACCTTCGCACGCATCACATAGCAACATGCTCAGGGCTGCCACATACATGTACATGTACATACATACATGTACAGTAAGATGGAGCGCAGAAGACACTTCGCCAAAGAACACTAATACGCAGGAAAATGGGCAAATTCACGCTAAAATTATTGCAGATTTTTAAAAGACCGCATGTACCGTTTCCTAAATGTTTTCAACGTGGTGTGATCGCATCGTATGGTGCTCTCCGTGATCGTGGAATAAGAACAAAACGACTAACATTATAACACCGTTCAACATGTTAGAACGTGGCTAGACTATACCTTGAGCCCCTGGGCTCTTCGGCGCCCGATCGTATACTGACATTACTGTACTTCTCGAAGTACACAAGTCATGATGATTTGATGCAATGTTTTAGCGCTTCTTGTTGAATTCAAGCGGAGCATCATGGACAGTGGACACTTCATTGGTCTCCTCCATGGATCCAGGGCACTTCTCTGCACACAGCTGCGGAAAAGTTGCGAAGTAGTTTGTGAAAATGAAGAAAGTTGCGAGAGTTGCAATTTCTTCCAAAACAACAAAAACAAAAAAGCTGCGAAAAAAGTGGCGAGCATCTTTGTTTCGTTTCGTTGTTTAGGAAGAAATCGCAACTTTCGCAACTAATTACTTTCTTCATTTTCGCGAACTATTTCGCAACTTTTCCGCAACCGGTTAACCGTGGCCCGGCCCCATGGCATGGGGTCAAAAGGTCAAGTCACTAACTAGTTATGTACCTACATGTGGGGCAAATGCATACTCGCTAGGCCCAGACAGATTCTGCTCCGCTCGCCTCGATATTTTGCCGCAAAATGTTGCTGCGAAATCTTCGATATTTTGCCGAGCCTAGCACAATAATCTCGATATTTTGCTCCATTTTGCTCCGGAAAAACGTGTATTTTATCCAATTCCCGTACAATCCCGTACAACGTTTCATAAACATCGCAGGGTCGGTTTCTCAACACGGGTTCAAACTTTCAACGCACATATCCCTGAGTTCTTCCAAAATCATGTCGGTTCACAGTGAATCCCAGTGATATTTCGGTGACATGATCTCATCCTGGGCAGTGTATCCTGCAGAACGGGTAGTGCCCAGCGCTAAATCCATCAGCGTCCCCTTTTTTCCCTAAATCCCAGCGTGATTTAACCCTAGTATCTCTGAATTGTCGCTCTGTTGTCAACAAGTTGTCTGAGCTCTGCGTTATTGCCGAATGTGCTAAGCCTGACATAATCTGCCTAGCAGAGACGTGGCTCTGTCCCTCGAACCCGCTCTCACTGTCAGGCTATATCTGCATCCGCAGAGATCGACCTCCGGAAGACAATCGGTCAGCACATTGTAGCCGTGGGTATGGGGGTGTTGCCGTACTTGTCCGTTCAGATTCCTTTCCGTACGTCTCCCCTCGTGCCGACCTTCAACGCCCTGGCTGCGAGTCTGTGTGGCTTGAACTTGGCTCCCCCTCTACTCAATCTCAGAAGCCCATCTTACTATGCTGCATGTATCGACCACCCTCACAGAACACAATGCAATTGTCGTACTTTTGTGACATGTTTGTTGAGGCATTACAGTCAGTTGTTGCTGTTGTTGCTGTTGTTGTTGATTTATTTTACATCGCATGGCAAACGGGCAGTTCTGCCCAATATTATGAAAGCGATGACAACCAGTAAGAAGAGTCAGAAATGAAGAGAAAAATAAATGAAAATAAAAATACGAAAAATGGAAGTAGCAATGAGGGGAGGCAGGGTCAAGACGAGCAGAAAAATGGATCTCAAATTTACAAGTCGGGTCATCGTAGCATGATTCTATTGAGCCTCATCAGCAGGTTACGAAAGCCATTACATTTAACCGAATACAAATACGCGTAGCATGCGTTTGAATTCACGGACAGATACTATGGACTTCATACAGTCGGGCAGGCCATTCCAGAGTCGGCAGCTGGCTAGAAGCGGTCGGCATGCGCCAGAAGCACTGTGGGCCAGGGGGAGGGGAAGGTTGCGTCCCAACTGACCTCGAGTGGTCATGCCTGTCGGCGGGCCTTGCAATACAATTCGGGACGACAACAGCTCACTGACGATTCCAGAACGGATTCTAAATGTCAGGAGTCGGAGCTTGCATTCCCCTCGTTCCAGCACTGGGCAGACACCCAGCCTGGTGTACAGGGGAAGAGTGTGGGCCAATGGGTGCTCATCGGCCACGCAACGGATGCAACGTTTAGCCAGTTTGGCTAATGTGTTCCCCTGCTCAGCGGACAGTCCTGGGAGAAACGCATTCGACGCATATAGAATGTCCGGTATGACAAGGGCAGAGTAATACAGCACCGCCTGCCGCACTGTTAGGCAGTGCCGGATCTGGCGGAGGATCCGCAGCTTCATAGCCGTGCGTCGGACGATAGAGGTGACTTGCGGTGGTGACCAGCGAAGATTTTCATCCAGAGTGACTCCGAGGTAGCGAGCCGTACTGGTCTGGGCAAGAGGCGTGCCAGTGCAAGTAATGTGGAGGTCGAGGTGTGCCTGCCGTCCAGCTTTGATTGCAAGCACTTGCGTCTTTCCGGTGTTGAGGATAAGCCCTTTGGCATCGAGTAACCTGGCGACAGCCGACACTGCTGCGGAAAGGGTGATGTTGATGGCGTGAGCGCTAGCGTGGCTCAGGTACAGCATGATGTCGTCCGCGAACATTAGTGTACGCACCGGGTCAGCTACTGATGCGACACATCTCGTGTAGATCGCGAATAATATCGGACCAACCACGCTTCCCTGGGGGACACCGCACGTGCAAGCGTCCAGAACCCTCACCACAGCGGCAACTGCTCTGGCCGGTTGGCTGAAGTCCCGAGGCCTCATCTTGAACGCCACCAAGAGCCAGGTTCTGGCTATCTCTCCCCAGCAGCATGTACAGGAAGTAACAGTCAAAAGCGGCGACTGTCTCCTCCCCTCAGCGTCTTCTGCGCGCTACCTCGACGCTCACCTTGACAATCGCCTAGATTGGGACACCCATGTAAACTATGTGGTCACCAAGGTTGCCAAGAAAATTGGCGCCTTGTGGCGGGCACGCCGAAGCCTATCAAGACGCTCTCGTCAGGTGTATGTGAAGGCGGTCATAATGCCCGACCTGCTTTATGGCTCCTGCTGCTTTTCAGCCGCAATGCGAGAGGGTCAACCGAAACGACTGCAAACCGCGCAAAACAGAGCCATCCGCTGTATCGATGGCAACCCGCCCCGGACAGCCATGCAGCCGCTGCTCACTGCTCACTCCCTGTACCGTGTCAGCGAGCTCTACAGGCAGAACATATTGATCACCATCTGGCGGTGCATCCACGCCCGCACCAGCCCTGTGCTCGCCCAGCTTCTGACCCCGGCACAAGGCACCCCTACCCGCCATCAGCAGTAAAATGGCCTACTAAGCCAGGCAAACCGTAGCCGCCGCGGTCAGCGGAGATTTTCTGTTGCTGGTGCTCTGCTGTGGAACGCTCTCCCTGGTGAGGTCCGCACAATTACCCGGCTACCTGAGTTTAAGCATGCATGTGTACCATACGCCTGTAGGGAGTAGTTCGAGTTGCTGCTGATCGCTCTGCTCTCCCTCCCC